AATGTTAGCTCACATTATAAATTTTAAATTATATAGAATCGATGTAAGCATTAAGAGTAGATGTGAAGACTTTTGCTGATGAAAAAAACAAATCTAAGTCCGGAGCCATTCGTGTAAATAATTGGTTAATATGGTTGCATGCGAAAAAAATAGGTGCAGTTGTACCAATTGATTTCTTTGGAGTGTCAAGGTAAAATGGTTCGAAATTACGTGATGAGAGTCGGGGAATTCTTAAATTAATCATAAATAAAATTTCGGGAGCATGAATTTGAGAATTAAGAACTTTAAACAAGAACAGAGTCGCAGTCAAAATACGTCTTTTTGCTATTGAGCGAAAAGCGAAACGTTCACACAAACAATCGTAATCAGAACCTTGAGGTGGATAGCAACCATCCTTTTTAAAAGCTAATAATTTTAAAAATCTCTTTTGAATTATCTCCAGATCATCGTTGTATTTTTGGGAAAGGGGGTTAGCGATAATATATTATAAATAAAGTAAAGAAATTGCATTTAGAATGGGTTAAATTAAAAAAAAACTTGACTTCACGAACTGAGAATAAAAAAGAGAAATTTTTATAGATAAAATAAATTTGCTTTTTGATGTTGGATATACTGATACAATTAAAAGAATGAATGATTCAGAAGCTTTGAAATTATATTTATCGGGAAAACACGGAATGCGTAGCAACAAAGTTAATTTAACTGATTTAAAATCATCTTTAGCTCATCACACTATTAGAAAAAAACAAACCAAATGAAGAAAAATCCTAAAAATGTTATAAAGAATAAACAGATAGAGGAAGAGGTTAATCTTTCCGACAATCAATCAAAAGTGGACGATTTTTCAGACGATTTATATGTTTCTAAATCAAGAAAATTAAAATTAGCGAATAGTGTTTCCAATCCGAAAATAAATATTGCATCCACAGAAGTTTGCTCAGCTTTAGATCGAGCAGTTATAAGTTGTGGAAGCGGGTCTCTTATTATTCAATCTACTCTTCATACACTAGGATACGATGTGAAAAATATTGCTTATTCCAAAAGCACTATTTGGCGAAACCGGAAAAAGATTCGTGAAAAAAATGCTGTTGAAGATAAGGAATCGTTTCAATTTGATGATTGTATGACAATTCATTGGGATGGAAAATTATTACCAGATTTGAATTCCAAAAAAAATTGATCGATTATCCGTTGACGTCACTGGTGAAAATACTGCAAAATGTCTTGGTATTCCAAAAATTACAGCATCTACTGGGGAAGCTCAAGCAGAAACAGTATTTCAGTTATTAAATGAGTGGAAACTGACGGAAAAAGTGACTTCTATGTGCACAGATACAACAGCTAGTAATACTGGGAAACATAAAGGAGCAATCACGTTTCTGCAAATGAAACTGAATAGATTTCTTTTTTATTTAGCTTGTAGATACCATATGCTAGAGTTACTTGCTGGAGCAGCATTTAACGCGCTCTTTGAAAATTCTACTGGACCAGATATTCAGTTATTTCGCAGTTTTTAGGATACTTGGGAAACAATAGACCAAACAAAGTTCAAAAGTTGTCTTAAAGATAAGAATGTTACTGTTTTCCTTACTTCGGCTATTCGTTCAAATGCTATCATATTTATAAAAAATCAGTTAAAAAATTTTCATCCAAGAGACGACTACAAAGAATTGCTCGAATTAAGCTTGATCTTTTTGGGAACCAATACCACTCCAAACATTGCAATCAGAACTCTAGGCGCTTTTCACAGAGCACGATGGATGGCAAAATTAATTTATAATTTAAAAATTTATCTTTTTCGAAAACAATTCGATCTTACTGAATCTGAAATATCTGGACTTCAAAAATTTATTTCTTTTATTATAAAAATTTACTTACAGCAGTGGTTTACCTGTCGATCGGCTATTTCTGCTTCATTAAATGATTTAAATCTGCTCAAAGAACTGGTCGATTATAAGAAAACTATTCGATCTATTGCTGAGACAACTCTTAAGACCTTCTCTTCACACTTGTGGTATCTTGTAGGACTTGCCTTTTTTGATCCTCGAATTACATCTGATGAAAAAAAATTAATGGTTGATCCATTGGAAAAAAAGCTGTGACATTCCACTCATTGCAGCTAATGTTCCAACAAAAGAGATTCCAAAAACGCAAATTCATCATTTTGTGACATCGAACAGTAAAATACTTTTCGATGCTTATAAATTATCGACTGAGTTTTTGAAAAAGGAACCAAGTTTGTGAGAAAAAGATGAAGACTTTATGAAATCAAGAGAAAAACTGGAAAAAATAAGTGTTGTGAATGATATATCTGAAAGAGGTGTAGCATCCGCAACAATTTTTAATAAGAAACTTACGAGGAATGTAAAGGACTTTCAAAATTTATTGCAAACGGTTCATAATCACAGAAAAAAGATTCCTAATGTAAACAAAAGGGTTGTTGAAACAGCTTTTAAAAATGAAAAATAAAAAAGGTATCAATTTATATAGATACTTTAACTTTAAATACAATATAATAAAATCTTTTATATTTTTAGTCAATAAGTAAGTCTTTCGATTGTACTTGATTTAGGGGAGAGTAAGCTACATTGAACCAGCGTCAACAGTGAACCACTTCAATTTTCTGAGAAATGACTGAGTGAAATTTGTTCTTATTCAACATATAAGTTAGTATTACCAAAACAGACTATGTCCAAATATTTCCGGCACGTAGGTTTATTATTTACATAGAAAAACTAAAAAAAACTGTTTTTCACGTACAAAACAAAAAACTTGGTGGCTATAATGACGTTTTTTTATTGAAATAGGAAGTTTTAAAAATTAGTAAACTTGTGATTTATTTCGCTTAGGGTGTCAAGTTCAATATTCCGATGTGAAAAAGAATTTTAAATCTTACATAAATTTATTAAAAACAATTCTTGTTGTGAATGTCATGTGTATACAGTGAGTGCGGCATCATTGAACCACCCGAAAAAGCAAAGAATTTTTAATTTTAAGAGTGGTAGAGTTGTCTGCTCTACTAACTAGTAAGAAAAATTCTGGAAGACATGCTTTCATCACAATTTCTATAATATAGAAGGTTACTGCTTTTCTTTTCTTGAATTAATCCTTGGTGTTTGTACATAATTTTTCAAGTCATTTGATCAATATTTTATTTAGACATTTTTAAAAAATGATAATTTTCAATGTTTTACAAAAATTTTAATGACTTCTAAAATACTGAATGCTTTTTAATGATTTTAGGCTTATTTTAAAGGTGATTTTCTCCAGAATGAGAATTTTTTATAGGCATTAACGTGTAATTTTTTATAGAAAATTCAATTCGTCAAACTTAGATTAAAAAAATTAAAAAATTTTTAAACAATCTTATTAACAGAAAAACAATTTTTAAAATATAAACATATGTTTTTATTAAATTAAGATTTAATTTAAGGTTACATTAAGGTTTTATTTTGTGTGTTAAACGACTAGGAGTGGGCGCGCAACGCGCGGCCTTTTGGTTCTAGTATTACTAAAAATGATTAAATTATTTTAATTTTCTTATTATAAAAAATAATTTTTTCTTGGAATTTTTTTTAATATCAAACAATTCAAATATATCTATCAGTTTTGTTTTTCCAACAGAAGGAATATTGTCTACTTTAACATTATATAAAATAATTACATATTTTAAGAGGTTTGAATAAAAAACCAAGTTTAAACGTGCAGGGGATTGAATTTTTTTCATTTAAGGTTAGAAAAAATAGTTTTTAAACTATTTTTTAACACAAAACCATTTTTTTAACAAATTTGGTAACATTCTCAAGAAATGTGCATAGTTTTTCTTAGTTTGAATACGTAAGAACTTAAAAAAAACTTTAACAAAAAAAGCACAAATTTAAAAAAAATTGAAATAGCGACCTTTAAATGACCTTCAAAAAATCTGAAAAAAATTTGACATATTTTTTGGGTAAAAGAAGTTAAATTTCGGGTTAAGGTTTTAGAAAAAAGCAAAAAAAGTTTTCGGTGAAACGCCCTAGTACCCAGTCATGTTTATTTTTTTCAGTGTATTTCCTGCAAATATATACAAAAAAACGATTTTTCGACTATATAAAGTCGGATCCCCCCTTAAATGACGTGAAATTAGAAAACAATGGTTTCAAACAAATATTCTCTTAATTACCTAAATCCAAAAGATTCTTTTAATCCATGTAGAGACACCGTCGCAAAATGATAAATATCATAGTAATATTGTAATGGCAGGCTGGCAATACACTCGACTCTCGGATCTTTTGCATTCAGTTCTTTTACACTCTCGAGCTGTTTGCAATTTTTCTCCCGCACCTTTTACCTTCTACATTAGATTATCTACGATAACTTTGGTTATCTAAAGTAAATTATAACAGTTCCTCCATTATGTGATTAAAATTATATTAAAATTTTAATTATTATTAATGTGAATATTAAAATTTTTGGTTATATATATTTTATTGTTTTGCGTTGCCATGGCATTTGTTTTGGTAAAAGGTATAAGAGGATGTGGTCTCATAAGTGCAAAAGATCCGAGAGTCGAGTGTATTTAGATAATTAAGACGATTCGTGTCTATGGTTCGTGGGTAGATTTTGTAAAAAGTGCCTCTGTGCAGAAAGAGATATGTTCGAAAATGATTGTTTATCAATTTTACGTCATTTAAACAGATCATTGCCGTATTATTGGGCGATAATAAACGTAAGTCACACATAATCTATAAACTTAAGAGACCATCCAACACCGTTAATAAAAATATATAATATAATTTTCCTTAGGTGGAAAAGTTAACGTTAGTTAATGATATTAACGTTAGGCTAACGTTAATTTAACAACATTTTTTTACCAATAACATTAACGTTAACCAAACGCTAGTCTAACGTTAGTATGATTAGCTAACGTTAACTTGTCCACCTGCCTCTTAAGAAGGAATGCACAAACAATTATGCAAAGAATTTTAAATATAAAATAACATAAATTTCTATTGTCTTACCCAGTGAATAAAGTTTTGGTTCCTTTATGTAATAAAGTTCGTTCATAGCTTCAATTCCGAAATTAGCAGCTTGAATCATGTCTTCTTCTCTCGGTTCAACAAATTTATCTCTTTTTTTTCTCTGAATTATACTAATAGAATACTTTTCCTTCTTTATATTTGCGTCTATCAATGTACTTCTAAAAGTTTTTAACGTTTGATTATATTGTGATTTTAAGGTTGAAATGTCTAATGTTCCATAATATAGTTTCGGTGAATTTAACTCTGTTTTTTGTAGTCTAGAAACAGTTTGCATGTGGTCATTACTTGGTTTAGATTATAGCCTCTTGGGTTTTTTTAGCATTAAACAATTGATAATTATGCAGAATCATGATTTTTACCATTTTTAAGATGATATTATACTATTTTTTTATTTATTTATACACTCGTCTTTTTGCCTTAATACTAGCGTTTACAAGTGTCCCCGAAGAAATTTTCTTACATACTACATTTTCTTACATAGGGGAGACTGGGGCGAAAAGTTAAATTTTGCATAAATAATTTTTTTTTGGCAATATAAGCCGCTTAGATGCAAATATTTGTATATCAATATTGTAGGGCAACTTGTCCTCTACAACTATCAATAAAAAAGTTCCTGATATTTTCGCAAAAAATACATGTTTTGTCCTTTTTTGAAAATTTTGTTTTTGTTAACTTTTCGCCCCATGCTGGGGCGAAAAGTTACATAGCTGGGGCGAAAAGTTAAATTCTATTTTTAGCCTACTAAAACTATTTTCTGATAGGTGATAAATAGTAGATAAGTTAAAGTACACGTAAACAAGTAATTTAGTAAATAAAAGATCTTTGTTTATTTGACAAAAGCTTTAGAATAGTTGTAAAGTTAAAAAATTGAAATTTCAAAAAAAAAAATTTTTTGGTTTATTTCACGTGAACCGGCTTATTTTTTGACAGAGTACTTGCCAAATGTCAAATAAATAATGTTTAAACAAATAAACCCAAAAAAACGAAAAATAAAAAAAAAATTTCAACAACATGTAAAAATACATTTAACTTTTCGCCCCACCCATTATTTAACTTTTCGCCCCAGGGTGCGTTTTTGGCTTTAACAACAAATATAAAAAATCTGACTAAAGATATTTAGAAAATACATGTAGGTATAAACAGAATTGCACACAACTCCGGACATTTATTTAGGGTGATAACACCCTTCTATAATTAAAATTGCAATGCTCTAACTATTTTCGTTCGAAAGATAATGAATTTTAACGGTTTTGGTAAGTTTAACTTTTCGCCCCAGTCTCCCCTACTTATTCTAAATTATTGCGCCTATAAAACGACTTGAAAATTAGGAGTACTCGCAATTGCCTGGACCACCCATCTAATGAGTTTTCTCGCCAGTGGAGAGGGAAACTGTAGAAAACCTCTCCTGAGTACAACCGGTTTATCGACAGTCGAGTTCTAATGGTGTGTACCGGACAATAATCGACAGTGCACATCATTATACTTCGACGTCAAACCTCCCGCTCAGATTATCTCACGTTCCGGAAAAATACATATTATATTATATTATATTATATTATATTATATTATATTATATTATATTATATTATATTATATTATATTATATTATATTATATTATATTATATTATATTATATTATATTATATATTATATTATATTATATTATATTATATTATATTATATTATATTATATTATATTATATTATATTATATTATATTATTGCTTCCTCATAGAGGAAGTATTGTAATACCAATATTTTTCGAGTTCGATTTTTTGACATATCTTTATGTTATCAGGAGTTCAAAAATCACATTTTAAAAAAATGTAATTCGTGTGTGTGTGTGTGTAAACATTGAATTTTCATAAATATCTCGAAATTATGAATAGCTTTAGGGATGAATTTTTTTTAAATAGTAGGTCTCACGTGCAGACTTAAAATGAGAGTACTTTATATAGAGAATACTATACTATTTTTATAACGAATCTCGTTACAACGTTCATTCGTTACAACGAACATTAAAACTCTCAATACAACGACAAAAAAACAAGAACGAATTTAAGAGATATTAATCGACCAAAATTTTGGTTAACTAAAAAAAACGACAAAGTTAATCAACCCTTAACTTTATTTAACGTAAAGAATCTAGTAATTACTAGATTAATCTAGTAATTACTCCGATTAATATTAAAAATACTTAGAAGGAAGTCCCCTATCGCCCAACCCACAGAATTGATTGAAACTACGTATATTCACGTATTTTTATGCCCTGATTACGAAAATGATAAAGAAATTTGGCAACTAGGTCATCTTCATGTTAAAAGCCACAAAAAACCCATTAAAAAGCCCGCTGTGCTTCAGAAGGGAAAACACTATAGAGCCCGGCTCTGCTCATGTACTTCGGCTTTTTAATGTAGAAAGGGAGTCAAATTGACTTCCTAGTTAGTATTAAAAGGTACCTAACCCAGAACCAACACCCCTCCAACGTGTCCCTTAAAACGGGCTGTTTAATGGGTTTTTTTAAGTTTTCAGCATGAAGATGACCTAGTCGCCAAATTTCTTTATCATTTTCGTAATTAGGGCATAAAAATACGTCGGTATACGTAGTTTCAATCAATTCTGTGGGTTGGGCTATTCGGAACTTTATCCGAACGTAATAATAAAGAATAAGAGAACTCGGTTTGTAAATAACGCGAATAACCACGGTGAAAGCACTAAATTGTTTTTTTTATCGAGAAGACGTTGCATCATATTAAATTTCAAAGTGCGATTAATACTATAGTTTTGTGTTTACGTGTTTATTTCAACTTGCATTAAGAGAGGGTTTGACTATAATTCCAAGTTTATGAAAGTTTTTTTTAATTTCTTAACGGTGTTAGTATAAAATAACGTAATTTTGAAAATTTGTTGTCCCCTAGTACCGGACAGTTGACAAATTGGCTTTTTTTTATTTCAATATATTAGACAGGAATATTTGTTGAACCAATTATACACTTAATGTGAATGTGTATTTTGTAGGATGCACTGTAAAATTTAAATAAAAAAAGAAAAATAAATTTTTCTAAAGTTGCGAGAAAAAAGAGGGCGCGTTGCAGCACATTTTTGAGTCATGTCGTGCGACTCAACCCTGAATTCTTCTACACACTTTCTGGGGCGTGCAGCGCGCCCCAAAGAGCGTGTAATACACTTTATACAACTCAGGCGTATTATGGTCACTTTATCTACCTGTACAGGCGCGTACTAAGTTCTCCCTTATAACCCAGCAGTCAATAAAGTAACCATTATAGCTCTAGGGAGATAAAGGGTACATTATTGACCGCTCACAGGTCAATAAAGAACCCTTTATCTCCCTAAGGCAATAATGGTTACTTTATTGACCAGCTGGGTTATATGGGAGAACTTAGCATACATTGGTACAGGTAGCATAGAGTAACCATAATACGCCTTTGTTGCATAATGTACTATTAAATACAGCTCGCCTCGACTCAGGGGAGCGCTGCACGCCCCAGAAAAGTGTCTAGCAGAACACAGGGTTAAGTCGCGCAACATGACTCCAAAATGTGCTCCAACGCGCCCTCTTTTTTCTCTGTGTGGTGACTTTATTTTACAAAATCCTTGGCAATAACACTTCATTTAATGCGTCAAAAATAGTCTGTGATCGCTGCATCATTTTTCAAAAATATCTCGCGCGTAAAATTTTAAAGTTTTAGACTGCCGGTACTAGGGGACAATTTTAAATTGTTGTATTTTTTCACCAAAACTAAATTGAACTCAAAAAAAATTTATGAAAATATTGTATTTTTGTTAATTGATTTTGGTGTTATATATTGTAGAGTTAATTACTTCATAAATGAAGTCATATTTTTTGAAGTAGTTTTAATTTTTATTTTATTTGTTTATACACCTGTCTTCAGCCTTACAATACTTGGCTATACAAGTGTTTTTACATTTTCGTAAATTTCTCTTACAAATTTTTCCCTAACAAACCTAATACTAAATTTTACGCCTACAGAGCGACTTGAAAATTAGGAATACTCGCATTTGCCTGGACCACCCGTCTAATGGGTTTTCTCGCCAGTGGAGAGGAAAACTGTAGAAAACCTCTCCTGAGTACAACCGGTTTATCGACAGTCGAGTTCTAATGGTGTGCACCGGACAAATAATCGACGGTGCACATCATTATACCTCGACGTCAAACCTCCCGCTCAGATTGTCTCACGTGCCGGAAAAATACCAATCCAAGTGGGCGCGAACCAAGGGTACTTACTCTTGGTCTTTAAACGACCGCCAAGCAAGGCATCAATCCGACTGAGCTAATCTTTCGGTGTAGTTTTTATTTTATTTCATGAAAACCTTAGGTGTCCGGTACTAGGGGACTTCCCCCTACTTTTTTGAAACTTATGCCATAATTCAGAAACTTTTAATATAAGGGTGATTCTCCGCGTAGCGCAGAACATGGTTTTTTCATGTTGTAATGGAAAAATAATAAATAATTTTCATATATTTTTACAATTCCAACCTGAAAAGGTTATCTATATGTTTAGAAACAAAAACAAATAATTACTTTTTTATCTAATATTATAATTTTTCATAAATAAGCGCTTTTAAGGCTGAAAACATCAAAATTATACCTGTCCCCACAGGAACTTTAGAAAAAAAAGTTAATAATTTTAGTAATATGCAATAATAAATACAATTATTACTGACATTTTAGTATCGTCTACTTTAGTACAGTTGAATAAAAAATTTTTTTTTTAAAAATTCATTTCATATATGTTTTTTTTCAGTTTATGCTTGACAGCAAATTTGGATGCTATTCATTATTTTATTAACAAACAGTAAACTATTTAAATGAAAATTAAATGTTAACTTAAAATTACTTTTTTAAGCACAAAAAATAACTTCCTTAAGTTAATTCAATGTTCTAATTGATTTATTCATTTTTCACTCATTTTAAGTTGGTGATAAGGGAATCACAAAATAATCTCCACCGACCTCCATCGACCCTTAAATATTTTACCACAAATTAAACAATTATTTATAAAAAAGGTTAAATAAAGCGTAGTTATATTGTTTTGGTCAATACAAATGAGATCCACTTCAAACCGATTGAAAATTAATGATAGGGGAGAGTCGGTAGTGGCGAGACACGCTTTGTTTTTTTGTGTAGGACTCATATTTTCATGAATAATTGGTCTGCTTTTGTGCAGACAGACTAGTGAGACTATCTTTTACAAATTTACATAATATAGATAGCA